TCAAAACATTTACACGGCAGATAAGGGAAGCAGACATAGTCCACCTCGGTAAAATTAACCTTTTAATGAGTATGCAAAGAGCTATTGAGTCAAATATAATGAGTAGTACAAAATAGTGCATTGTATAGACATATAAGAAAAAAAAAGGAAAAATAAAAAGGAAAAAAAAAAGGAAAAGAAAAAAGAAAAAGAAAAGAAAAAGAAAACGGCATAGCGGAAATTGAAAATCGATAATAAGCGCACCTGTGATATCATTTGTCAATTTTCATATGCTTACAAGGTGGAGAAAGCGAGTGTTAATATGCCTGTGCTCTGAATCTCGTCCATTTACTTTAGCTCGCTGTCTAAATAGATATTTCTTTCTTTGTTGCACCACCTTAGCATGCAGAGAGAGCAATGTGGCTCGTGCTCTGATTGCAGCCTAATATTGTTGTTTATATGATCTTGCAGATCTTGAAGACGGAAGACGGAATGTTAGCAGTGCTTTTCCCACCTCCACCCATGAGTGCTTTCTCTTTTCCCTCTTGTATGCATATGAAAAATGACGGATGATATCATGTATTGCGCATATTATCCATTTTCAAATTCCGCTACGCCGCTTTTTTTTCTTTTTTTCTTTTTTTCCTTTTTTTTGGCCGCTCTAGAGCTCTAGAGCGTACAAAAAGCAAGATGCTTGATATATTCATTATTCAGTCAATACTCTGAAATCGCAAATTGGTTTCACTTATCATTTTTCCTGCGCGACTTCAAAAACCACTCATCATTCATCCATTCGTCCTTTACTCGCGAGTGCTTCCGATACAAAATAAGCTTTTTTTCTTTTCTTTCCTTTTTTTTTCCTTTTCTTTCTTTCTTTCTTTCCCTTCTTTCCCTTTTTCTCTTCTCTTCCAGTTCAGCCTCATCGACCAACATGAAAGGTAAGCAACACTCCACAAATATTCACCCTTACTAAAGTCCTAACTCTCTCACCTTATGCTGCGCTGTACTTGTTCTGACTTTTCATTCCCTGTCTATCTCTCTTTCTCTCTCTTTCACACCACTGTTAGACCACAAATGATACAAACTCCTAGCCAGCTACAGAGCAGAGCTAGGAAACACTCTGAGCAACTCAACAGCAGACTACAGACCAGAAAAAGCAAAAAAAGCCTCACCTGGTCATTCACAGAAGAGCCCTCGGCGCTGTCATCAAGTAAGTATATAGTTTATGCATGCCTTCGCTTTGTCTTGCTTGTGGTTGTCCCTACCATGGAACAAGCTCAGCATACTTACAAAGCTATCTTCGTTCTTTTTTTTTTTTTTTTTTTTTTTTTTTTTGTTTCGTTTTCCTCCTTCTAGCTGTAGCCCTAGGCTCACGGCGACGATTGTCCCAAAGACTGCAATGGACCCATGCAGTGCTTATCGAAATGGGGCGAAAGCGGAGCTGTAAGTACAATTTCTTTTAGAGTACATGTCGTGACTTTCTGTCTGTACTCTGCTGTGCTCTGATTACCAAATATTCTAACCACGCGTGTTTTTTTTTGTCTTCTTCCCTTAAAGGCTCATCCGCTTGGGCTCTAGCCCGCCGGGCCCTCCGTCGGGCCATCCTCCCGCCTGCCCGCCGATCCCCTTCGCCGACCCCTCCGTCAAGCCCTCGCAACTCCTTGAAGGGGGATCATTGTAGTAGCTCTAGAGAGCCTCTAGCCTCTGGACCTTACTTTGATCCGAGTGCCTTTGGGGATTTCGCGTAGGTAACAGATGACACACAGTTGTGGTCATCCAAGTATGGTAAGTCAGTAGCAGTGGCCTGTTTACTAGGCCTATAGAGCTCGAGTCTCGGCCCTCAAGGAGGTCCCCCCTCCAGCAGGATCAGGATCAGGACCAGGATCAGGATCAGGTGTTATCGAGGCCTGATAACACCTCAGGTAAGTATACATGCGCATACATAGCAAGGAGCATATTAACTTGATTCTATCATTGCTTTTGTTCTCTCTGTTTAGGTGGGATCTTGGCAACTCGGAGCTCTATAGTGTTTAGTAAATAGTTCATTGTTACTGACATCATACTTAGATCACCCCAATTAGCGAAGCTGCACCAGGCGCCTGGCTGTAGTGTGTAGTGCATGGCGTAGAGGCGTCATGTTGTGTGACCTGTTACCTGCCGTCTGAACCAAAGGTACTCTGGTCATAGTAAGGCTTCATTGGCTAGTCGTTCGATAGACTATTGCAATGAGACCTCTGCTTGGAGAAGCGAGAGCAAGGGTCATAAGGGGAGTAGAGGGCCTTGAGGCATAAAACTAGATCGAAGAGCACCATGCTTCGAATGCGGCTTGGAGCGCAGGGCCAACAGAAAGCAGACAGCAGCCGAGGGCCGAAAGCCGATAGTCAAGAGCCAGCAGTCAGCGGTCAACACCAACATCCAATAGCAGAAAAAAAAAAAAAAGCAAATAACCAAAACACAAAACAAAGAACAAAAAAAAAAAAAAGATAAAAAAAAAGATAAAAACCGAAACATAGAGCGCCTGGAGAAATAGCCTCAGAGCTAATAAACAGCCAACAGCCAACAGCCAACAGCCAACAGCCAACGGCCAACAGTTAAGAGCCAACGGTCATATAAAAACCCCCAAAAAACCCCCAAAAAAAACCAAAAAAAAAAAAAAAAAAAAAAAAAAACTTCAAATGAAAATAAAAAAAAAAGAATAAAAACTTCAAAAGAAAAAAAAAAAAAAAAAAAAAACCCCCCGAAGCCAGAAGCCAGAAGCCAGAAGCCAAAGTCAGAAGCCAGAATCCAAATGCGAGAAGCCAAATGCCAGAAGTCGGAAGTCAAAAGACCGAAGCCAGAAGCCAAAAGGCAGAACCCAGAAGCCAGAAGCCAGAAGCCAAATGCCAGAACCCAGAACCCAGAAGCCAGAAGCCAAATGCCAGAACCCAGAACCCAGAAGTCAAAAGCCAGAAGCCAGGAACCAAAAGTCAGAACCAAAAATCAGCAGATAGCAGTCACGTCACTGCAAAAAAAAAAAAAAAAAAAAAAAAAAAGGCAACCAGCTCACTCCACTCAACCAAAAGAAACCTCATTGAAAGCCAGCCAAGGCCCAAAGTCGGTAGACGGTTGGCTCTGTCATAGCAGCTAGAGACTCCCTCATCAAAATTAAAGACAGAAAACCTTAGTCAAAGCAATCGAAGGCAGCCAGGCAACCACAATCAATCAAACACAGTTTGCTGCAATCAAGGAAATCAAAGACTACCAAAGCCAAAGCCAAAGTCGATCAAGGGCAACCTATAAGAGTCCCGATAATCAAAGGCAGTCAACCAAGGGAAGCTAACCCAAAGCCAGGCCACTAGGGCCAGTCAACCAAGGTTTCCAAGGCCAGTTAGCCAAGGCGCCATCAAAGAATATGCTAAAAAGCAACATCAAAAGAATCCAAGCCGACTAGGAAATGTTCGGTTCATGCAAACGTACCATGGGCATCACCGCTCTTGGGCCAGGATGCAGCTTGGAAACCACAGCATAGTAAACAATTAACAATAAATATTAAAAGGCAAGATCAGACACAATGATCTTTGTCTTTTGTCTGAAAATGTGATGGATCTGTGACTATTGTGAATGCGAAATAGGAATAGAATGTTGGTAGCGATAATCAATAGTAAAGCCAATGGATTAAGCTGTGCCAGCTATCGGTAGCAAGCTACTCGGTAATATATAGCTGGCTATATACTTACATCCACTCATCAACGGCCTTGAAGAGCAACCCAATCAAGCACATGAATACCTTAGTGGAGTTGTGGACGTGTATTGTTACAGGCGCTTACCGTGTTACAGTGCGTTCACATTTGCACTGTCTGTGGCCTCATTGACTACAGCAGTTAGTAAAGGAGACCATCTTCTTTATCCTCTTCTTCTATTCTCTTTCTTCACTCTTAACAAGAGATGGGATAGACTATGTGGGAACTATACTTTGGCAGATTATACCTCAGATAGAGCAAAGTGAGACACATCAAACAATTACTACTTCCGCTGCAAAGGCTACGACAGACGCGCCACGGGATCGGGATGCTGTAGAGACTGGACTGTAGAAGGTGCTACCGGTTCACAGGACAGATGTTGATGAATATGAAGCAAAGCTTCGACAGAAATTGGAGTTGATTGAACAAGAACAGAAGATGTTGCAAGAAGAGGTGTTGAGACGGAAGAGAATAGTAATGGAAAAGGCAATTCAGGAGAAGACAGTATGACATTGATAATGAGCCCTTTTATATAATAAACCATTTTTCCTATTCATTATAACCGAAAGTAGTTTATGGAGTCAAATTCACTGTGAACTTGGTCTCGAAATGAATGAACTGACCTTCACAAAAGAAGTATTTTAAAATATGAAACTTAAAGTCACAAATATTGGCGCACATGACATCAAATTTATGCTCTATTTGACAGTATTCAAGAGATGTCAGGGTGTCATAATATCGTTCAAGTTCGTGTTTTGCATATGTTTTATCCATCCTTATTAGAAAAGAGGAAAGGGGAACAGACTTCAGTTTTTCGGCTTGTGCCTTCACTTCCACCGAGAACGGCTAGCGTCTTTTGCTAATACTTTTTTTGGTCATGGTGTTTATATAATTGTCTGAATAAAGAGTGAAGACGTAATTTGGTTATTGGTATCATGTGCGCCAATATATGATGTGACTTTAAATTTCACCATCATTTTTGGGACCAACTTTAGCTTTCGACTATAAAAGTTAAAAAATTAACATCTTGACTCTTCTCACTTGTTCCACTTTGTTAAAATTTGCCACCATCTTGTTGTCCACAATCTCAACTGTTTTCTAAAACGCACTTCTTTGTCACCAAGCCTTTTATTTCAAACAAATAGTCTCTCGTTCTTTTCACTGCGATCCCCTTGACTAAAGATTCCTCTATTCTTCTTATCTTTCCCTTTCTTGTTTTTTTTCTTTTCTTTTTTTACTTTTTTTCACTTTTTTCCACTTTTTTTCACTTTCTTTCGTACACGCGACTTACACCGAGAAATAATGGATTCCATTACAAACAAAAAGAGAAAAGCAGAAATCACGATACTAGACGCAACGTCTACTACCAAAACCTCTCCATCTTCACCTTCCCCCAAGAGCCGTCGGGTGACGTCGACTGGCGATATTAACGATAACGATAGTACTAACGACAGCAACAACAACAGACCTGTAGAGGAGTCAGAAGTGTCCGCATCATCACAGCCATCGAATATTGCGTCATCATCTAAAAGCTCGAAGCGGACGTCTAGAGAAGACCGACGCCAGTCAACGGACGAGCCGGAAGGCATTTCAGCCACAGCACCCACCGCAGCACCTCAAGAATCACCAAACAACAATGTTCAAGAAAGCCATAGTGCACCACCAAGTGGTGTATCCCATAAGCCTTTGGTGGCAACTGATGTTCCTGTTTCTTTACCCACTCAGATTGCTGTCGTAAAAGTTTCTTCAAGCAAACGCGCCGCATTCCCCCCTTACAAACAGAAGTCTCTATTGTCGATCCCCAACGCGGCGTCTGCTCCCAAATTGAAAGGGATTCTTAAGTCACCATCTTCGACGCGCGGTTTGAACCGAGACCATGAGCTTGACAGCACTAAAATGAGAAACCCTTTTGTTGTAACTACAGGGAGCGATTATTCGGAGAGAGAACCCTTTGTAAAGGAAGCTCTTAAGTCACTGCAGTCTGAGGATGCTCAAATACGCTCGTCAGCCTACCTTAACTTGCAGGCCAAGTTCAGAGAGGGTGATGAAAACCCTTTCTATCTGAAGGAAGTGGAAGAGTCATTGGGATGGTTTGCGAGGTATCTCATTAGGGATTTAGATCTTTGTAGCCCTCCGAATTTGATTCAGGCGACACTAAAGTGTACAGGCTACTTTCTTTTCAACCAGACAATTGTCGCGTTGTTTACTTCAAAAGAAATCGAGGCTCTACTTGTACGAATCTTAAATTTGGTCAATGCAGCGGATGAGAAACCAACTTGTAATTTGGCAATATGGGCTCTCTACTCTACCAGAATCCCTCAAAGACTCTTGTTTCCGTTCCTCCCGCATATGATCGAGGCCTTCTTGGATAATCTGGAGTCCCGATTCAAGTCGCCAAGTATTACGAGTGGATCCCTAGGAGGCATGTTTACCGTATTTACACAATTTCCTAATGAAATCGTGGTAACAGTCCAATCATGGCTCATGCCTGTACTTACGACACTAATATCACCCATTCCTGGTATCCGGTCAAGAGCGTTGGAGCTGTTGAAAATGACGATCCCTAAGTTGACTGAAAAGGAGGATCCAAGGCGAATACAGGCCGTCAACGAATTCATGGATGATTATAGCACTGAGTTCCTTGAGGTTTTGACAGCAAACTTTCTGGATGCTAATGATGGTAAGACGATACGGACTTTTTTTTTCTTCTTCTTCAATGTTAAAAAGGATGTCTGATTAATATTTAAGAGTTTCTCTTGTAACTTTAGAGGTTTACGCCATCACTGTCTGGGGCACTCTAGTCACATTAATGGGAAAGAGACTACAAGAAAGTCCATTGCTCAACCCCATGCTAAAGATAGTGGAGGTAATATAATCGGCAATAATGGTGTTGCATTATGACACATCCTTGAACTATTCTAACTTTTTTTTTTTTTTTTTTGTTTATCCTTCTTCACTTTTTACGCATATAATGCTTTGATCTCGACATATCTACCGCAAATAGAAATGTTTTAATTCGACATCATCCGTGAGGACAGAAATCAACATGGCCGCGTTTCAAGCATGGACGTAAGCCAAGGACTCGAAGAACTGTTTTTTTTTTATTTTTTTTTTTTCCGCTCCAAATAATGGCTGATGCAATGTTTGAAACTAACATTTTATTTTTATTTTTTGTTTTTTATTAGGCGACTCATATATAATTTTGCTATTGGCGGATATATCGCAAACGAAAAGCCTCTTAAACTAATGCTTACCCCATTCGCAAACTGGTAGGTTTTGCTTCGCACTTATGCTTTGTCCATCCAATACCTTGAGTCTTCGCCCCAAAAGGGAAAACTTTATGTGGACTCTAATATCCATCATTATTGTTGCTCTTGTCCCTGTTTTAGCCTTTTTAACGAAAGGCAGAAGCGCATTCGACTAGCATGTTTCAACACCTGGATATCCCTTATTTATGCCCTCGGTTCCAGGCTATCAAAGGTATGTTGAGACATATTTCGAGCAGAAGTTCAGTGCTACTAATTTGAGGACAAAAAATGTGATCTCTAACGAGCTATCTTCATCTTGCGCTTATCACAGTACGCAGATCAGGTCCTATTTCCGCAGCTGAAGCTTGCGATTGTGGACGAGTCTGAGCATGTCCGTGACCTCGCGCTCAGACTCATTGCGGCACTGGTCTCTAACTCTGGCGGCCAAGGTATGGAGCGTTGATAACTGCTAGTAAACAATATAATAGCTAGTTCAAAAAGATAGTTTTAATATCGCTGGCAATTAACTGTAGTCTTAATACTTCGGTAGACCTTGTGGAAGGGCGCCAGAGTATAGTACCTGGATCAATCACATTTTCGGATCTAGGCTGTGCAGAGGCATCTTGGGTCCGTACGGACTTGCTGGATAATTGTCTGGACTGTGTTTACCAAACTGTTGGGCTACAACATAGGATTCAGGAAGCAGCACGCGAAGATTGGAAGATACTTGGATTGACGGAGCTACCTCTGCTTACGCAGCGGTGTGCGACGACTTGGGAAACCATCGTGAGAGCCATCCGAGATATCAATCTGCAAGAGCAAGGTACGGTCTTGTGCTATTCATTGCTCAATATCTGAACCTTCAATGGCCAAATGATACGAGGGGAAAATAGATGTAGTCTAACGAATGACAGCGCCCTCAATTCTTATGCAAGGTATGAGAGCCACTGCTGAGGCAGATCGTGCTCTGTCATCACTGCTATTTTTTGTAGAAAAATTGTCACGGCGCAACCCGGAAGCACTCATTCCTGGCGAATGGCCGAACTGTGACCCTGAGAAGCTTGCACTATTGAAACACGATACAGAATCGACAGGATACATCATTCGAGCGGACATGATATACTATTTCTTTACTTGTGTTATTGAGATTTTTTCTCCCAGAACGCTTATGTTTGCTCAATACCAAGTTCGAGACAAAATTCATGACAATATTTATAATGCCGTCTATCCTGTTTCTGAACCAACATCACAGACAAGTGGTGTGGTCTCGCTTCCTAAAAACGAGAGCCTAAGAAGTGGTGTCATCTTATCGCCGTTCGAATTCATTCTCAAGACCTGGCTGGCAACAGGTGAATCAGTCATCGGGACTGCATTAGAGGCTCCATTCTGGAAAGCCATATCAGCCTCTGTGGAGTTTTAAACTAAAGGGATCAATGCCCTCGGTCCGCTGTACAGGTGTTTGGATCATATTGAGGACTGTTGCATATTTCGTCTAATGGCATATCTGATCGCACGTACAAGAGGATAGCATTTTTTACATTCCTAACACTGCAGCCCTCCAGCCCTCCAGCCCACATAAAAAGGATTTCGATTTTATATATAGAAAATGAATGAATAAATACTCGGATAATGTGGTGCTGCAATCCATATTCAATTCTCACTTATCTTTTAACTTCCGGTTATTATTTTCCAAGGACGTTCGAATGAAGAGATATACCACAAACACCAGTATTTGGCCTGAGTATTCCAATGATCCAAATACGCCAACGGCATTCCGCGTGTTCCAGTATAAATTCTGGGCTATAATCTGTAAGCAACATGAATATACTCAATATTACACAGTCGTCTTTTTCTTTGTTGAAACTTTCTGGCCAAGTTCTCGTTTTTCAATTTTTCTCTTCTTTGTGAAATGTAGCATAAAAACTTAAGGCAATTATCAGTAGAACTAGCCAGGTTGTAGATGGTACGGTGATAGGGTATGAGCAGGCTTATGTGAACTTTATCAAAATACATTTATGATCCTGAGTGATCCTAATGACATCAAACGAGATATACCCGGCATGGATTACAGTCAACCCATGTTGGACAGCCAAGGTCCAGTGATAACACAAATGGTTCAGTACATGGAGACATTTAAGGCCATCTCTTAACCTACTTGAACTGAGCTGCTGCAGATTTTTTATAGAGTCGCACAACATAAATGGGGTCGTGCTAACGATGGAATGAATACATTAGCTACTCAGATCCGGGAGCTGTACAGCAGGAGACAGCCATTTGTTTGGATTCAGTCATTTAGCGTGGCATGCATTAGGAACATTTTCGATATATTAGTGTTGCAGAGGTATCTTGAGAATTGTCATGTGCTATTTTCTATCACACTCTGGAAAAACAGCAATCTGCCAAAGTATAGTTTCCACATAGTCTATGCTATCTCTTGTTAAGAGTGAAGAAAGAGAAATAGAAGAAGAGGGTAAAGAAGATGGTCTCATTTACCAACAAGAGTAAATAGCTCGAGATCAATGTAGCTCATGCTCTGGTTGGTTGTGGACAGGCCTTTATTGCGAGCCTTGCAGACAGAGTGTTTTCCCCATCTCTAATCGTGAGAGTCTCTTCATTATCATTTGAAATGTGACAGATGATCAATGACACGTATATTTTATTTTATCTTTTATCTTGTTGTTTATCTTTTATTTTGTTTATCTTCTATTGGAGTGTACAGCAAACAAGGTACTTATTACGCCACGCTTTTGAAATCCTTTCACCACTCGTTCCTTCTCCTCTTCTTTTGCGGACATGAGAAATAGTAAGAAAACGAACCTCTTCTTTTTTTCTCTCTTTCTCCTCGGTCGCCTCGACCATCAGCCTTCTCAGTCAAGACAAAAGGTAAGCAACACTCTCCAAACACTCACTCCTACTGAAGTTCTAAAGACTATCGCTCTGTGCTCTACTGCTCTTGTTCTGATGTTTCTTTTCCTGTCTATCTCTTTCTTTTCATTCCATGACTAGACTGTAAACGACATAAATCCACCTAAGCCAACTAGGGCTCGATAGCTCGCAGTGAGGCTACCGCATCCAAACAAACAGCCGCACTTAAATAAACAGCTGCCGCCGCACTTAAACAAACAGCCACTGTACCCAAATAGCCGCACCTGAACAAGCTGCGTACTCAAACAACCCCGCACAAACGGTCCGACTGTCACATTCGAGCAGCCAGCCCGCCTCCTAATATTCACATAAACATACTCTATTCATACCTCATATCTCTTTTTTCCCATTGAATAAACACCATCCTGCGTTCTGCACCATCCATTCTCTTTTATCTTTTTTTTTTTTTTAAGAAGCCCTTGTCTCTATAATCAGCTCGTCCTTTAACAGTACCCACTTATCAGCACGACTCAGCAACGAGTCAAGTATCGATCTACAAATATAAGGTAGCTACATGTAATAAGCATAACAACACCGTTTCCGAGATGTGATGTTACCAACTTTGCCACCACTTTACATCATTGTGCAATTTTTTATTTTTTTTTCCTTATGTTACTGAGAAAAAAAGTACAAGGTGTTGAGGTTATAATATTGAAATCTAAAGACTAAAGGCTTTGGAACCATCAAGGCGCCTGTCATGAAAACAAAAATAAAGAAAATCTAACTTTTGTTTAAATCTATTGGCATTTTCATAGCATCTGTTGCCTCTATCAAAAGGGTCGTTATTGACCTATTGTTTGGATTTATATTCAGCACAAGTGTAGTGACAGTGTTATATGATATTGCAAGCTGTCCACCCTCTCTCCCTCTCTGTATCCAACAATAGAAACATCACCCTTGAGTTCATTGGGAATTGCACAATTCTTTGGAAGAAGCGGCCATTTCGAAAACGGCATTGTTTTGGTTTCAATAAAGACAGGAGGCATCATTATTTCCAATTATTCCCATGCACTGATGGATTAGTTGAGGTAAGCATTATTCGCTCCGCAGCAGAAATGAACAAAAGATCCTTTTGCTTAAAGTAATTCTGTACAGCACGTAATACCAGCGGTTCATCCATGACAACTCGAGCATCTCCACCAAGGATCTTGATACGACCTAAAGCAGCTTCCACTAACAGCGCTTCATCCTCCAAGATAAAAGTACTCCCACCGAGAGATACCATCGATACATGGATAGCTCGAGTGTGTCCTCAATTGAAGAAAATGATGACAACTGTTCCAGGTGGTTCTTCATCTTGTTGGTCGTCCTGACTAAAGAGTCGTACAAAGTTGTTGTTAGCTTTGTAAACATTGGCAATGATGACAATAGGTCTCAGTATTGGAATAAATAGAAAAAAATAATAATAGAAGAAGAGAAAAATAGAAAAAATAGAAAAATAAAAGAATAAAAGAATGGAAAATAGAAAAATAAAAATAAAAAAATTAAAAAAAAAACTTACTAAGTACCCCAATTATGTTGCCACGACGTTCTTTATTATTCCATGATGATAACATGGCTTCTGTGTTGGTGAGGATAGTCTCCCACTTGGTTGAGTTATTAGTAGAGATGATTCCCTCAATCGCGCCTAATAAAGATAAGCAAATCCAGTGGTAAATATATAAGCGGAAAATAAAATATATAAGTGAAAAGTATACATATATAATAAAGAGGAGCTTGGTACTTACTGACGATTGATCTAAATCTGCCGGTGAGTCTCTTGTACAACAACTTATTGCCTCTGGAGGAATCAACATATCAATCCTATGCTGCCAAGTTTCATCATGGAGCTGGTCCTTGATACGACTTATGAATGATCGAATAGAATCTTCATCTTGCCACCCTACAAATTCTAGATGGCTAATATAAGCCAATGTAATATAAATAAAAAACATTAGAATCATTAGAACCAATGGCAAAGGGTATATGTCATTGAATATCCGCTTAATCAGCTTACGGAAACATGGGTGGGCCATATTCTTTGACTCCGTTGCCCACTAACAAAATAGTAACAAGACTATGAATAACGGAAGCATTGAAGTAAGAATAGTCCATTCTGAAGTCTTTCCACGCCTCCATGCTCTAGCCAAACTGAGTACTCCATTTGTCGTTACAGGAAGCTCCATTGTTACTTTGACATATTTGTTGAGGAATGTTACTGCTGGCGAGTCATCGGTGAAGAAGCGAGTGGTGATCTTTTTGATTGTTGTCTCCAGGCCCTCTATGAAGTTAACTAAATTAGTTGTCTAATTAGCATCCCGATTATGCATCAGGTTTCTCGTCCACTGTGTACTTACGAGATGGTGAAGTTGGCCTGGATGGTGGTGACAAAGATAAACGGCTTGTCTGCGGCGCTTGAACAGCCGGAAAGCTATATGCCGCTTTTTTTTTTTTTTTTTTTTAAATTAGTTAATTAGATGCGTTATCACTATAATCATTACTAAAAAACAATTCATGAGATAGATGTAATTACCAACTAATGGACGCTGAATGATGATGTGAATTGTCTTCTTTGTTGGTGTTGTGCCAAAGACTTCAGAGATATCGCTTGTAGGGTCTTCAAGTTCTTTCGGCTTATTGTCCTGTTCTTTGTTTAAATTGTAGGGAACAATTTGTCTCTTTGGTGATGAAGAAATAGAGACTTGAAAGAGAACAAGCTCATTTGCACGAATATTGCCAAATACTGGTGATTGCTCTTCTTTGATTTTCTATTTGAGATGATCTACCGTCTTTGTCGGTAGAATGTCCATAGAGAATGCTGTGGTTTCACCATCGATAATGCAAAAGAGAGTAATTTCGTCCGACATTTGATGCAATGGAAGACTAAATAATAAATGGTTTGTGAGAATAAGTTACGTACACACGTATAGGAGCGAAAATTTAAGCCACCCCTCTATTAATTGTGTACGCGTCTCTATTTTTTTCGCTCTCTGAAACTATTTCTCTCTCTCTTTAAAAATACATCTCTCTGAACGAGTATTTTTTTTCCTCTGAATAATACACCCTTCTATCTATATACTAAAGTCGAAATGGTTTCTCCCTTATCGTAATAACTCGTTTCATAGATCTTTGCTCTATTATATGATATATTTCATAGATCTTGCTCTATTATCACAGCGGGAGCCGACCTATAATGTGTCACTTCTTTTCTTTATTAATTCGCCGAAAATCCAGTCACTAAATAAAAATAAACAATTTTTTTTTTTTTTTTTTTTTTGCTACAAAACTATGGTGCCACAAAGATTGATCAGCATCTTCTTTTCTTTCGCCCTTCCGGAACACATCCACTGGCATACTTTAGAAGTTCCACTAATGAGTGATATTGATATTGAAAACAACGATGACCGCAACATCGATAGTTCCATTAACATCCATGACCTCCTGGTTCCTGAACCCCAGGCATATAACTTTATTCCAAACAAAGCCATTCTCGAACTTTTCCCAAATTTTGACAGAAAAGATTTCTTTGTCCCTGATCCAGAGAAAAAAGATCAGTATGAGGACCTTCGGGACACATTACAAACAACCATCGGCTCTTACCCCAAAAACAAGCTTCAGAAGTATTCTGCACCACCTATTACCGACCTACCATGGCCCGACAGTGCCAAGTTACGGCAGCAGTTCGACTCTGATCTGGCGTTCATTCAATCCAAGCTGGCTATCCATACGCGCCCCTTGGACAAGTATGTCTTGGATGCCATGCAAGACGACAGTCGCTCCGACGAGTCCACGCTATCAGCCATTGAGGGAGTTTCCGATCTCATCGAGCATATCAAGCAGATTAGCCATTACATCCACGACCTCCGAGTGCAGAACCTTGAGAGAGCTCATGGTCTACAGCTGCTTACCAGGAAAAGCAATGCCAAGACACCGGCTGTGGACTCCCAATCCCTTTTGGAGAAAAAGAAGCTTCTGTTATCCATCAAACGAAACCTGTATTCCAACAGCACAGCACGCGGTTCGAACAGGAACAGGCATGATCGAAACAATAATTTCCCTAAAAATAGCGCTCAGAGCAGCTATTCTAATCAAGGTCAGAGCAATCAGTCGCAGAGCCAGCCTGATAGCAACAACAACATCAGTGGCGGTAACCGGCATTTTTACAATGCCCGAGGCAACTCCAACAGGGGTCGCGAACGGGGTCGCGGCCGAGGGCATCAACAAACGACCGACCACCAGTAGGAGGCAGGATTCACTTATTCCAGCAAGCATGGGCGATGATCACAGACGAGCAATGGGTCCGGGACATAATAGCCAAAGGATTCAGGATCCCATTCAAGTCGCCACCTCCACTCTCATCCAGCCCAAGCAAGTCCCACAAGCTATCAGTGAAGGAAACAGAGTCCATAGAGAAAGAGATAGTGAGTCTTTTGGCCAAAAAAGCAATAGAAACAGTATCTTCCCCTACAGGCTTTTACAGTCGGATATTTACCATCCCCAAAAAGACAGGCGATCTTCGTCCTGTATTGAATCTCAAACCATTGAACCAATATATACCGGACAGACATTTCAAGATGGAAAGTATCAAAAATGTCTGCTCCATGATGAACAAAAACGATTTTATGACGAGCATAGATCTATCAGACGCATTCATGCATGTTCTGGTACATCCTTCGTCGAGGAAATATCTTCAGTTCGAATGGCAGGGACACCATTACCAGTTCCGAGTCCTTCCATTCGGGCTCTCTCTGTCCCCCCTTATATTTACGAAGATGTTGCGCCCTGTCCTCAGGTGGGCAAGACGCCAGGGAATCCGAATGACGGCTTACATAGACGATCTTCTAATTATAGCTCCCAGCAGAGAACGAGCCATACAATACACCCAGCGCGTCCTATCAAAGCTTCAATCATTAGGCTTCTTAGTGAAAGAAGAAAAGTCAACGCTAGAACCAACGCAAGTCATAGAGCATCTGGGCTTTACCATCAACAGCAGAAACATGACACTCTCGATCCCTCAACACAAAATCAGAGACATTCGCAGGGAAGCGCGCAAAATAAGGAACAATGGCGTTTGCAGCTTAAGAAGTTTATCCGCCTTCATCGGGAAAGCAATGGCAATGACAGCAGCCGTATTTCCAGCTCGACTGATGTGCCAGCGCCTTCTCCAGATAAAGAACGACGCCCTTCGACAAGGCCACAAATGGACCGACACGATCACAGTGACAGAGTCGGCAAAGGACAACCTCACATGGTGGATAGACAACCTCCAGCATTGGAACGGACAAACATGGCTCACGGAGAGGACAGAAGTCGACGTTTACACAGATGCCTCGGACACAGGGTGGGGTATCGTCGTAGACGATTCGACCTATGCAGGGCGATGGACAGCCTCACAGTCTCACGAGCACATCAACGTCAAAGAACTGCGGACAGTTCTATTTGCGACAAAGCTTCCCCAACTGCAGGGCAAGACAGTGAACATAATTTGCGACAACATGACCACACTGGCACACATCCAACGGTTCGGAGGGACTCGCTCAGCTCCATTGATGGAAATAGCGGACACCATTTGGAAGCATTGCCTAGCAACAGGGACACGACTCAAGACAACATATGTCCCATCATCATTCAACCCAGCGGATGCACCATCACGCAGGATGCAATCGCAGTTGGAATGGAGCATTCATCAGGACTTCTTCGATTATCTACAGAAGATCTGGGGCCCGCATCAGACGGATCTGTTTGCATCATCAATCAACAACAAAACAGAGAGGTTCATGTCATGGAAGCCAGACCCCTTAGCGATCAACTTCGATGCACTACGGCACCCATGGAGCAATCTGGGGAATTTGTACATCTGCGCGCCATGGAACCTGATCCCTCAGGCCCTTCAGAAGCTGAGGCTAGAGAAGCTACAAGCGACGATCGTAGCTCCGAACTGGCCCAGCGCCCTATGGTATCCAACTCTTCAAGCGATGGCGACTTGTGCCCCCAGAGAGATCCCACGCAAGTATGTCCTCCCAGCTCCAGGACAAGATCAAAACGTTCTAGCAAAGAATCCGCACTGGACACTGCAAGCATGGCGCGTAAACGGCGCTATTACACAGACCTAGGTTTAGACAGCGAAGCAGCGGAGACTATACTAGATAACCCTCAGACACAGCGACGGCACAAAAAATACGCCCCAGCGCAACAAGTGTTCATCGATTGGGCCAGGCAAAATGACAGGGATCCATTCACCCCCAATCCGATCCTTTTAGTTAACTATCTCAATCATCAGATGCGCAACCGTCCATGGTCTCCCGCCACCACTCTGCAGAAACGCTCAGCCATTTTAGCTCTATTTCCAGACAAATCAGCGTTTGACAAGAGCCATGTGTATAAGGACTTCATTACAGCCATCAAGGCCAAACACATTCGACCTAGCAACGCATTGAGCATCAATCTCAACCCAGCTCTTGATTATATTCGATCCCTTCCTTCTAACGAGGAAATGTCATTCCTTCAGCTCACGAGAAAGCTTTGTTGGCTTCTAGGCGTTTGTGGGTTCCTTCGTCCAGACGACATTCGATGTATAGACCTGACCAAGACTACATGGACCACAAGCCAACTCATGCTCTTCATTCCTATTCCCAAAGAGAAACGACTTGGGAACCGCATCGAGAAGACAGTTTGTATTCGTTCCAACAGTGATCCGAAACTGTGCCCTGTGAATACATTTGCTGCGTATTTGCAAAGATTAACAGATCATCCACTGGAGGTACCACATCCGAAGGATGACAGTCTGACAATTCAACCTCTCATCCGACATTCCAAATATTTGAATCGAGCAGTATCAGCAGAAACCATTTCCAATCACATGGACTCGATCTCAACTAAGATCCCAGAAGTGGAAAAGGCTTCCCGACGTATCAAGCCACGCGCACTCGGCTCTACAGCTGCAGCTACAGCAGGGGTATCGATTGACGACATCATCGCTCATGGTAATTGGTCTTCTCCGGAAACTTTCCAATATTTCTACCGCATGGCTAGTCAGACAAGGACGAATTTTACTGAGATCACCCTGGGACAAAACTCTGGATGCACATTATAGGTCGGCTCCCGCTGTGATAATTACACAGCGTTCTCGAATAATATGAAGAGAAAAGCATATTATCCGAGGGAGCCGACCTATAATGTCCCACCCTCCTCTCCCTAAGCTAGTCTGGTCCGGAGCTCAAGTCGAAGGTGCTGATCAATCTTTGTGGCACCATAGTTTTGTAGCAAAAAAAAAAAAAAAAAAAAAAAAAAAATTGTTTATTTTTATTTAGTGACTGGATTTTCGGCGAATTAATAAAGAAAAGAAGTGACACATTATAGGTCGGCTCCCTCGGATAATATGCTTTTCTCTTCATATTATTCGAGAACGCTGTGTAAAAGAAGTGACACATTATAGGTCGGCT